TCAAAATGAAACGTTTTACTATCAATTAAGATAAGAATATATAAACAATTGTATAGAAGTTATAAACAGTTACATTAAACATAATTTAGTAAAACCTTGGAAATCGAAATTTTTTGTAAAATTTATAAAAAATATAATTGCAGAGATAGAATATATCGATCGAAAAAGAAAAATGATCGTTTGATATTTGATTGCTGTCCATTGTATATCACAGTATATTATAATATATTAGTCGAAATAAATTTTAAATGTTGATTTAAAAAAAAAAAAAGGAATTATATAATATCGATAAGCGTATCGAATTTAGATAATATCGAATCCGTATAGAATCTAAACGAGCATAAAGCATCAGTAACCGATCGAAGCATGTCCGATTGATATCGTAATGTATGATTTTCTGAACACGCACACCAACGATATATATCCTTGAGAATCAATATATTTGCTCCTTTCACGAGGTCCGTTCTGGAACTGGATACATTTCCAATTCCATCGACTCACGCAACATAGAAAACCGCCTAACTATTATACGATCTCGTAATTTAAATGTCGCAACCAGTTACTACGAATAGTATGCAGTTCAGGGTAACATTTCAAAGTTGTACGACAAAATGTGTGTAAAATATTTTAAGTGGAATAATTCTGATATAAGATTAAATTATTGCTTTCAGTTGTGATGATTTATTTCATTCATTATTTTCGTGAGTTTTTGCTTCATTCATTTTTATTGCAAATGAAGTGTATAACATGTTTTAGAAAGATTATGAAATGATATTATATAAAGCATTCATGATATTATTATATAAAGCAAATAACTGTGAATCGTGATGATGATGGTTCAATTTATAAAAATAATTATAGAAAGAATTATAAAAGAATAAAAATTAAAATTCTTTCAACTAGAAGAAAATTTAATTCCGATAAAAATAATTTGGAAAAAGTAATTCCAAATTTAAAAAAATTCCAATATCTCAAGATTATTATTTCACCATAATAATAATCCAAATCCAATACTTTTCACGAATCTTGCCACTATGCCACAGAATAACCAATATCGTTAAATCTTTCTATCGAAAGATATCTAGTTAATTATCTTCCAATACAGGTAACAATCATCATAAAGTAAATACGCGTCATTCTAGGAAGGAGACAAATTAACATAAGTAGATATAAACAAGAAAGTTATTCGTCCTATAGATATACATATACATATATTGGAAATTCGACCCGTGATCTGATTACTTCTCTGTTTCACAGGAAACCTCGAAGAGGAACATTGGTTCTCTAGATAGACAGTTCCTCTGTACAATTTGTGTCTAACATTTTCAAAATAACATTTGCATAGTTATCACGTTCAGTATGGGATATCGAAGCAAAAGTATAATAACTCGAACTCAAATTTAATCGAGGTATAATAATATATATAATAATACTAAAATATTATATAATACAATAATATAATATATATTTGATTGTAATTAATATGAACATATATATAGAATATGTGTTACATATTATATTTATTACATTATATAATAATAACGTATTATACAAATTATATGTAAAATAATTATACAACAATAATATAATCGTAATGTAATTGTATTTCATTATAGTCGAATCCAATTACAATTTAATTGTTCCATTATAAGTTTATTCAAATGAATCAACTGGTTGAAGTCGAATAAAAGAATAGAATTATTATAATCGAGTCGTACGGTAATCAGAATTAATTTATTATACGATTACCACATCGTTCCTGGTAAGAGGAATGAATTAACACACGGATTTATTTCAAGTATGGGAATATTTCTGACATTACGAAATTGTAATCCACGAGCGAAGCACGAAGATGCACGAGATAATGGCGGATTTATATTTTAATCCAAGACCCAGCGATCCTCGAATTTCGGAGATTTTAATTAACAGTAAACATGGAATTATATTCCTGTTCAACGAGATGTTCTCGTGCAAGAGGGAATTTCGTTGAGTATCTCGTTATTGCGTTGAAGAAAAGAAAATGTTATTTTTTTAGTGACCATTAATAGGTTTTTATTGAGTCATCCTGTATGTAATTTTAGTATCCATTAATAGTTTTTATTGAATCATTCTATGTGTAACGTGGTCTTCAGAATTTAGTTTAAGATAATGGAACTCGTTACGATAAGAATTTTATGGTAAAGGAAGAGAAAATTTAATAGGATAATGATAAATAACAGTTATGGAAAATAAGAAGAAGTATATTACTAATTACTTAATTAGTGATAGTTATTTATTTTCATAAATATTTAAACATTTTTATGGATTAATAGAAATAGTACAAGAAAATAAGATAAGGAAAATAGAATTCCACCAAGTTTAACAAATTAACTTTAGATTAAAGATCAAACAAAATTGTGGCAATCAACTTTTATTACAAGTTCTTATCTTTATATATACAATTACTTTATATCCAATAAAAACCAAAGTACTGGAGATATCTGGAACATTTCAAGTATTCTTTTTATCATCCCACAAAAAAATAGAATGTTTTCAGAAAAAAATAAATATCACGCTTCGTAAATTAAATTATTAGAAGACTCGCAAATCTAACATTATATTTATATTGATAGTTGCTCCAGCAATTAATCCATCTCTGTCTGATTTACAAAACGTCGTATTTTATTGACGATTTTCTTCCATCCACATCTTTTTCGCAGAAACAATATTGAAATCGATACGAGAATTGAAAAACAAAATATCGTAGAAACGTCAATTGCACGACGATATCTGTCGCGACGAATGAAATTTCTTCAAGAATATTCTAGACGAATTTATCTATCATACAGGCCGCAGACTTATTTTTCAATTATTTTTCTCCGTGGATTGAATCAAACATTATTGCGAGATAGGAGACAAAATGCCTCGATATCTATCCATATCGTTTTTCCATTGAGGTGACAGAATCGAAGCATAGATACTAATTCGCAATTAACGTTAATGAGAAAACGCTAATGACGAATTCGGTAAAAGAAAGTTAATTGCTTTAATTGGGTTAATCTGCAGTGTGATCGATAGTTGATTTATTTGAATATGTGTACATATTGCATATGTACTTTTTATTTCCAAATTTATATCATGTTCATTCGCAAAGTTTCCTTAAAATAGAAATACGTGTGTATATAGAGAATATTTAATGATGATATGAATAATATATATTATATAGTCGGTTACATATATTTTCCAATAATTATGATTTTTTTAATATTTTAATAAAAAAATAATTATATCATAAAGATATTATAAATAATTTTTTATTCTGTTTCACATTTTGAATTTCGATAAATTCTTAATGTGTTTTATGCATGAGAAATTATAATAATGCACAAATAGAAATCTTGCTGTATTATTTTTAAATAATTATAATTCTATCATTTCAAATGAAATGTGTTCAATCCTGATACATGCTTGAATAAATGATATTTTTAATGACCAAGAAAAATATGTACAAAAGTATCATACACAATTAATTGCAAAATAATTGTAACTACGAAAATCTATTATGCATCGTTTTGAAAAGTTTTCAACTTATATGTTAAACTTTTATTACTTTTTTTTAAAACTTAAACATATAAATGTAGTTTCCTAATTAAAAAATAATTATACTACGAAATTTACTATGTTTCCACGAAAAAGAAGATTCGTTTTTGTATACACTAGATTTTTACGGTTTAAACATATATTCTGTTAATTACGAAATGATTGTTTCCCAAAAGTGTGCTTTATATAGAGAGAAGGAGAATAAAATTCGCATAAATATACATTGCACATTTTGTGTCTTAAAATGTGTAATTATAAAATAATTATGGTATAACGCCTGTTTTTAAATTATTAGTAATTTTAAACATCATTTACACTTGTTATATGTATTCTATTTTTCCATTTAAGTATCATTTTAAATAATTTTTATAGCGTTGAAAAATATAAATTATTAATTACATTGAAATATTCATTGAATGATATTCATATTTCAAATGAAGTCTCGTTAAATTAATCAAATCGAAAATATGTTCAATTGAAAAGAAAAAAAGAAATAGAACAATAAAATAAACATAATTCAAAGGAACATTTCAAGATTACTATATCTTTTTCTACATCGAAATACTTAATAATATAATTTTAAATTGCAATATTTCAAAATTAATAAATTTCTATATATAAAATTTAATTCTAATATACGAATCTCATTTTTATTTTTCAGTTTTCAACAATTCTCCATTCGAATATAAATCTCACCTTTCTACACATAGGATGGACGATTCCCTTCTTCCTTTGTAAGACGATCACACAAGGGTTCTGGATCACCCTTTTGATTCGATGCCTTATTGTTCTCCTTTAGATTATTATTGGAAATCGTGACGCGGATCGCTCGTAGATACGCAACGAATGAAATAATACTGAATCGAACACGAAACCTCGCGGTCAAACCTTCATCCTGTTCCGCCCCACCTTTCGCCATCTTTTTCTCGACGCGAGAACAGGTATTTGAGTAGGGATTTCGATGGTTATCGAGGAGAACGCGGCTATCTGTATTCCAAACACAAGCTCCGATTGTTACATCCAGCCACTGATCCGCCATTTTTTCGTGGATTCGAGCCAAGATTCAATTCGAGGAGGAAACTTTGGTGTTCTGGATATTCGATTTCCCAATTATGCTTGGGATGTGGAAAATTATCAATCGAATTTGCCATGTATGTATTATGATTTCTTGTAAAAAGTTGTTTTACAACGAAATTCGTTTAAGAATTTCGAACGTTTTGATTCCAGAGAATGTTTATAGAGCATAATGGGTTATGGAACGATATTACTTTTCTCAATTCTTCTATCTAGCATTTCGAAAGATTTGAGAAATTTGTAATTTCATCGTCCTATTTTTAACTTTACTTAGAAAGGTAAACGTGTAAGAGAAATTCAAATATTTTTATGTTAAAATAGGACATTTTAATGCAGAAGAGAATATTTTTGAAGAGAAAATTTGTTGAAATTAACTTTTAAAATTCTATCATTTTTGAATACAATTTTATTATTGCTCTGATAATATTAAATATTAAAAAAATTTATAGAACAAAAGAATAAAATATTAAAAGTTTTCAATGTATTCAAAGTATTTTAACTTATATTACAAAGTTAATAAATAAAAAATTTTAAATAATTATATCAGATCAATTAAATTTTCAAGGATTTATTTATAATAATTTGCTAAATGTGATCGAAATTATATAATAATACAAAATTGTTCAATTATTGTTCAAATATTTTTTATTTTTATTAAAATATTTTTAATAAATGGCTGTTAAAAGAAGAAATTCTAACGTTCCACTTCTGCGTTCCACTAAATATTTTTAGAAATTAAAATTCAAAAAGACTGAAATTTAATAGTACACACATTAAAATCTTTCAAGAAAGAATCTTTCAAGAAAAATCTATATGATGTAAGTTATTACATTTTTAATAATTGTTTATTTTAATAATTGTTTATCGTATCATATGTTTTATTATTCAAATATAATTAATACATTATCAACTAAATTATCTTTTAGATATTTTCTAATTTATATATTTTTTTCGTTGCATTAATTGCAACAAGTAACAAAGTGCCTCTTATAATTCGTTATTTTTTTATTTAAATAATTTTTTTAAATAATTATATCGTTATCAGGATCTAAATAATTATTGCAAAGCCAATTTGTGCGATAAATTGTTTTTATTTATTATAAAAATTATTTCATTAGATTCTTATTTTTCCAAATTGATATCGGATTGATTTGGACAGAATTATGCAATAGTTGTTAACATTTTAATTTTAATAATAATCTTAAATATATAAATTCTTGTGGCAATACAATAGAGACTTTGGTTTTTCTCTTTTTTTCACTTATAAATGTGCAATTTTATATTGTTCTTATGGAAATAGAATTGTGACGTAAATCTATTATTAAGGAGATTCGTATCGATATTTTCTCATATAATTAATTATGAAAAATGCATAAATGATTATATTTATCTTAAATTTTTGAATATAGAAAATATTTGTATTTATTATATATTATTTATTAAATTCTAATAAATAAATAATATCACGATTTTAAATTATTCAAAATCAAAACTTCGTGATTTTAATATTTATATATTTCTTGGCTTATTTTATTTTTATATAACAAATCTTTTTCCAACGCAATTTAAATTTCCAAAACTTGAATATATCTTGCTTTAAAAAAAAAAAATCAAAATATCACATAAAACTTTTCTTACGTTTATTTCCATTTAATCAGATCAAATTTTTTCATAAAAAAAAAATTTTCATTCAAAAAAGATTTAATTAAATCTCATCCGAATCTCCAGTTTTTTCCTAGAAATTATAAATTGGTCCAAGTATATAATATATAATACAATATTATCTCAGTCTGTTTTAATTCAAACTGCATGCATTATCATATACACGAACAGCATCGTAACTATCTCGATTATTTATAATGTTGTACCATCGAAACAAAGGCGGCGACAAATAAAATTTCTGTACTTCTCTTTGCAATAAGCAAATAATTAACAAAGCGTCATCATATATAATGTTATAATTGAAATTTATAATAGTCGATTGTTACTTTTTTCTTTTTTTGTCTTATCAAATATTTCATTCTATATTCTCAGGGATAAAACTGAACTGAGGTTATGCTCCCACTATTGTATTGCAGCGTCCTCTTTCGGAATTATAATCACATATAATCTAAAAGTGGTTTGCAATTGCAATATAATAACTGCAATACGGAACTATTAAATTGCGGAATAAGAACGATTAAATATCGGATAAGTAATCACGAGTGCATAATTTAATCCTTATTACGGAACAAGGGATGAAATAGTGAGAGATGGAAACTTGTAAACTAACTATATATAGGTTATTCATATTAAGACCAATTTATAAATATGCAAATCGATAAAATATTCTGCGGAACATTTTATGTTGTAAGAGCATGACAGTATTTTATGATTTTCGTTGTATTTCGTTTGTCAAAAACAAACTTTAAATTATATCGCAAAGATTAATTTTGCATTCGTAATCGGATTCTTCTTTACATATAAATTTAATTATATATATACATTATTAATTAATTGGATGGAAATTGAATTAAGAATTGTCTATCACCGTATATTCAATAATAATTATTAAGATAAATATATATATACATTTCAATGAAATTCAATGAATTATAAATAATTTATAATACATCATTGAAGTATATTGTTAAATTTAAGTTATAAATTACATAGATTAGATCACTAATTTAATGTCAAAAATTTTTCCAGAATATTCGATATCAAATGCAATAAATCAATTGATGTTATATCTATCTAATTCAAATTCAGAAATTAATCGAGAGAATTATTTTGATGTTTATGGAGGAGAGATCGTCGATGATGGAATATTTATTCTACCGTGGTGGTGAAACACGTGATTATTGAATATTAAGATTAATGATACTATCGGATATAATCATAGCAATACCTAAATGCTCGTCCAGTAAACGTCATAACTAATTAATACTCAGCCATAAATATTTGATTAATGCGGTTGACAATTACGAAGAAAGAAGAGAAAGAAGTGTTATGTAAATTTGTTTTAATTAGCAGAACACTCCAGGGAGATTAAAGAACACTATATAAGAGTGAAGGGCAAAATAGAAAATTGAACGAAGAGAAGGATTTAACGTCGTGCCATGTATTTTCCATTTATACGTTTACTCGATAAAGTTGAAACTGCACGACAGACATATGATGAAAATGCGATTTGAAATTGTTCAACCTGTGCGTTTCGAAATGGAATAAACAAAAACTAAAACTTGTTTAAAGAATCCCCTTGCATAAAGGTACTTATCAATTTTGTGAAACTAAATTTATCTAACTATAATTTAATCATATTTATCGCTAACTTTTACATTTTATATTTTTCGCTCCATATTCTTATTTCATTCATTATGTTTCATTTGTTTCAGATTATTTATTCGGTTCGATTAAGAATACTATTTGTCATATCAAATTATCTTTACAAAATATTTATTTCAGAGATAATATTTGTTATATTAAAAAAAAAAATTGAATTCACAATCAGCATATGTTTATTTGCAAGATAATTGCTCTAATCATGTTTTATTTTTATTTAAAATTTTTTTATTTACACGTCTGAAAATATGAATTCATAAATAAATTATAATATATAAAATTGAAATATGTAAAACATTTCCTTCTTTATTAATTCTAACAAATCTTCGAACATATTTTTCTTAAAAAATTATACATTTATAATCAATAATTACAATTTCAAATAAAGAAAAAAAAAGATACATTAATCTAGATAATTCTTGAATCTTTTATCAAGAATAATAAGAAGAAGAGTATTAAGAATGATGTGCAAAGTAAAATAAGATCTTTATCTTTATATGTATATGGAAGATCAATACGATAAATAAACCACAAATGGTACAATTAGAAGTTAATTATTATTTTCTGTGTAATTTATTTTTCATTTACGAACTGATGTAACAGAATTTCCTCTCAATTTTTTCTCAAAGTCATAACGATAATAAGCCATCGTTTCTTTTCCAGAAAGAACAATTTATCTTTCTCAAATAAATAAATTGTACAAGATCAAGCAGAAAATTCAAATGGAATAATAGATTTATTTCTCTCGAGGATAAAAAGAATTAAAAGAAAATTCATTTTATTAAAAACTCGAAGATGAACAGAGAAAATAAGAATTGTAAAGTATGTTTACTGTCTACATGGCAATTGGCTGATTGCCTACGTACAGGTATTTTCAGCGTATAATTAAATCTCTTATCGATATTTTTATATAATAAATTTTATATTTATTTGTAAATTAATCTACTATTACGCTACTCCACGTACAATAATGTTCACTTTAATCTCTACAATTGGGACACATCAGTACGTGCAGTTTTTGAGAATTCGACTGCAAGATGAGAAATGAATGGTCGAGAGATCTAATTTTTAGAGATTGATGAGGACAGCGAATAAGATCCAGAGTATACATAAAATCTACCAAGTTACTATTACCATGTAATAATATTTCGTATAAAGATATTCCACAAGTAAAATTAGTTGTATGAAAAGTTTCATATCAAAGAATTATTATATTTTGTATATTTATGCATAAATTTAAATTTTTTACAAAAAAAATTATATAAAAAATTCTTGTTTGATAATCGCATAATCAAGTTTTTGAAAAGAAAAGTTCATTTTCATCATCTTGGCAATAAATTAGATTAACAATAAAAGCAATCAATTCCACGAATTTCTCATCTTTTGAAATTCGACGTTTGATCTTTGAATAACGTATGATACACGAAGCGACGCAATGTGTCGTGAATTTGTTAGCATGAAATTTCTATATATCATTTCGCTTGGAAGCGATGCGTCATTGCAATTGTCGCAATCACGCAATATACCCGATAATCGATATATGCTCGAATCGCTCGTGGTATTATTAAGGTTATTATAAACTTTTCAAATATATTTATTCCCTTGTACATTAAGACATGTATATATTGATTGAAAATGAAAAAATTACGATTTACTTCATTTTTACTTTAAATTTATTATTACATACGTATAAATATATATTGGAGTATAAAATTATTAATTATTGAAATTAAAATTTGAAAATAAAGAAGATATTTCATTTTATGTGAAAATGATAGATAATGTTATTTATCAATCTTCATCGAGAATTGTTTGTATCATGGAGATCGCCCACGAAAATTTCTTTTGTACATCAGATGAATTTCCATATCAATGGTGATAATTTACTATTCGTTCATATCGATTCGAATCGATGACAAATATTTTCCACATCGAGTCGAATCGTCGACGAATTTCGTTTATTTTATATTGGAACTTCATAAAACGCAGATATATTCTCTGATCGCTGATGCAAAGCTGCAGGTTTGATATTTACAACGATTCTTTAGAAATTGAATATTGTTGGCCGATAAACAGTTATTGACCCTTAATATCCTGATCAATATCTCATATTTTATATTATCGTGCCAATGAAATTGTGTAAGTATTCAAACTTTTATCATTTAAATTTCAATTATACTAATTATTACCTTGTTTTAGGGTTGTCAAGCTGTGAAATTATATTCGTGAAATTATATTTCGATTCATATTATTTTCAATAATATTGTGAACGTGATTCGAAAATTTCATCGAAAATTTGACCACTTTATTGTTTCAACGATACAACAATTCATCTACAGTATCATCTACATTCATCACATGTATAAACATATTGTATACGTTTATTATGTTATACTTCACTCTATGAACTGGCATGGATACCCAAAAACCTTGTATATCAATACATATTTGCAGATAATGTTTATAAACGTGGACAAGGCTTAAAGCATTACAGCACCATAAATGTAAAAATATTGAAAAAAAAAAAGGTTAGTTAATTTATTCACGAAAGTAGATAGCTAATTTATCAAAACATCTCATAACAAACAATTTATAATTTATAACGATTCATCTCCAATCTTCAAGTAATCTTATAATATAATTCAATTCGTGCATAATTTAATTGCACAGAAGTAAAGTTTCATTGATATAATTGCAAATGTAACTAGGAGCAACATGAGGATTGCGTGTGATCGGGTCTCATGTTCAGGAACTTTGGTGAAATAAATTTTCAGCGGCGTTTGAATTAGAATTTCAGATGAACAATCACACAGGAATATGCAACGGAAAGGGGGAAGAAAAGTTTTACTACACCAAGACCAACAAATGTGACGTCCTTTCCGCGAAACGGCTGTACATACCTTGCAGACAAGTGAAATGTCATACATAGTGAATTGCGTGCAAGAGGCATTATGTAAATATCGGCTCGAGAAGAATGATGCACTCGATTCACTTTGCTTTCTCAATCTTTTTATCTATTCCCTTTAGATCGAGGATTTCTTCACGGAACGCTGTAATCTCATCAAACATTTGCGTAATCGTATTTCGTCTCGAGATTTTTCTCGATAATTCTCGAAATTCTTCGTTACAGAATTAATGAATTGGTGATTTAAGATAACGATAATTTCGTAATAATTTAATTAGAATATATATTTCAGTAGCGATTAAACAATGAGACTGAAATAAATATGGAGCATTATTTTCTATTGCTGACAGAACAAATCTTTATTTTCTCGTATATTTTTATTTTTATTTTTTTTTTTTT